CAGGAATGCTTCTTTATGTGTGAATACAAACAAAATATTTATACAAATATCCAAAATTTTTAAATGCTTGCATAAATAAATTGAGTCTGTAGATTTTGGAATGTGTAGTATATAGGACTGGAAATGCCAGCTTTTGCAACTCTGACCTGCAGAGCAAAATCTGTGTGTGAGAGGAACTGTGAAATAAGTATCATCTGTGTAAGAAGACCAAAATGAGTCAGAACTTTGGGGCTAGTTCACATGCTGAAACTGAATTGTTTCTCTTGGAGGTTGCTACTGCAGTGTGGTGGGTGGATTTATGTTGTGCAGCTGGATCCCATGTCAGCCCTCCAGTATCTCCTTGGTACCTGCTAGTGCCTTTCCTTGTTGCTTCTCACAGATTTGTCACTTCTTTTTGAAGGCTTATTCCTTTGAGGCATCTCAGTGCTCTCTCTGCCTTCAGTCCTGAAGATTCCTAGATTCCCTCCCATAAGCACACAGTTCTCTCTCTGTGATGTGTTTTGCTTTGTCCTCTCTTTTTGTGCTGGTGTGTTATGCTAAGAGTCTATGTATGGGCAAAAGGCAAGCACACTTTATATGTAAAGACAAGAAGATATTGTTGGTATAATTGAAATCTTGCAGAATTAGTTATTACAAAAGAGGAAAGAAAATGAAGAAACAAATATGACTAAACAGAAAAACTCTAGTGATAATACAGTTACAATTGTAGTATATACTCTTCCTAGTATCTGACCCTTTTCCAGGTGTTGTTCTCACTCTTGTACTGCTCCTTGGGATCCTAAAGTGAATGGCTTCCATCTGGTGTTTGCATGTGTGGGGTATAGTCATCACTACCTGGAGTTTTTTTCTGCAAGGACTGCTGTTGATGCTTTCTTCTTCCTCATTCTAGGATCTGCTTAGGTTCATTTTTTATGTTTGGTAATGCACTTTTAGGCTCTGCTCTTTATTTTCCTTGGTGTGCAGGTTCAAGTGACTTATGATGTTACTATATATAGCCTGTTTTACGTATGTTAGAAACTGCTTTTGCCCAGTTTTGTCCAGCTCTATTTTTTTTTTTTTAACTTGGCCACTTGTTTATAGGCATTGGTTCTCCAGTGTCAGCTTGTGCCCCATCTCTTACTATCCTGTGCCTGTACTCCTCTAAACTGCATTGTGTGTCTCAAATTTTCATGGCCCATGCTCTAGCATACGTGGCTTGCGTTGCTCTGTACTGCATCATTATGTTAGTCATAGCATCATTAACTGCTTGTGACTACTGTCTATATGAAAGCTATTGTATCATACAAAAGTAAACCAAATTAGTCATAACCACCTGGTCAGAAGAAAATTGCTGTTACAATTAAAACCAAGTTAAAACAGAGCTTTAAGCAGGTCAGGACAAGCTCAGAGTAATCTCTTGACAAGTTACAGTCCTGCGGCCTTGCAAACTCTGTACAAAGCCTGTAGACTGTTACTAGCAGTGGCAATGCTGTATTATATGGGTCTACAGGGCTACAAGTAGGGCTAAGCTTGATTGATAAAATGATGCAAGAATGTTTCTGTTTGGAGACTGGTTGGATATCTTTTCTGAGATTCTCAAACAGTGCTACTGATTAAATCTGAAGGACTCTGAGTGTCTGAGTAAGGGTGTGGTTTGGCAACCTGCTGGTTTGTCTTCATTATCAAATTCAGTGGTGTGGAAAGCTGCTGATCCATCTTTATCAAATTCAGTGCACAGGAGAACTCATTACATTTTTCAACTTGTAAACTTTGGGCTGTGAACATTCTTAGTTTCCCTGTGTTTGTCACTTTCCTCCCACTTTCTAGTTTCTGCTGCCTGCTGTAGGTTAACTGCAAAAGTTTAAAATATAAACATGGAAGATAGAAGACTATTATAGCTGGTAGTAGCAACAGGAGAAGCCGTATAGGTACAACTGTATGTTACTGCTGGATAACACAGTTCCTGTATTTTTAGTGATATTTGTCTTAGTCAAGATCTATGGGCCCAGATAATGTGGAAGTATCCGAGGCAACGGGCATTCTTCACTCAATCCCTCTCCTTCAAATAAAGCTCTGCAACTCAAACAATTTAGATTTAGTTTGAATAGAAGGGAAATAGTGATTTAGGGAATTAAGTCTTAGTGCTGGCCTGCATGGTCTTAACAGCCTGGAGAATGTTACTTTTTCCAATCAGGCTTGTCACGTCACACTGAAGCAATTTTGTGTGCAGACATCAAAAAGACATTTCTAAATCAAATTCTATGATTTGAATCGCTCCCCTGTCTCTTGTTGAAAGAATAACTGTTTTCATTTTGTGAATATGCTGCATTATGCTGTGCCTGAGTTACCCAGATGTTTGTATTTGTGAGCTGTTGTCTGACTCAAAGGTTAACAAATCAGGAACAAGTACATAGTGTAAGTGCTACAGTAGTATTGTTTGTTTTATTTACATGGCGTGCTTCTACTGTATTGGCAGTGAGCTGTTGATTTTTGTGGTGTTTGTTTTTGTTTTAAGGCTTTGCTTTGTATGGAATTCGAGGTACTATTTTTTTTCTTTATTTTCCTTTTCTTCAATTGAAATAGGGTGTCTTTGATGTTGGGGATGCACTTCATTGGGTCAGATGTGCAGGTGATGTCGGTATTCTACAGAGGCTGGAGAAACTTGGTGATTTTGGTTTGATCTATCTTGAAATTTTATTTGCTGAATGTAAGTATGAACACTTTTGAAGAAACAATGGTGAGGAAAGTCACCTGTGTTGTAGCTATAACATAGTTAATGTTTGTTTGTATTTCATTAGTCTGGAAGTGACTAGCAGAGTGACTGGAAAAATAGTGGTGGTGGTGGGGTGGGGTTTTTATTTTGTTTTTTGCTTATTTGAACCAGACGATTCTTCTTTGAATCTCTGTATGTGGGTTGTATTCACAGTGCACGTGCTCTTTCAGAACAGGAGTTCAGAACATTTTTTCACTTTGGTGTCCATCATGCCTTGTATGTGCGCCCTATATTCCTTTAATTTGGGGTTAAGTTGGAAGTTTCCTGAATATTATTTGAGTCTTTTTGTTAAAGATTTGGCAGGGGATTTTGTCAAAATATGGAGATGGTAGTCATATTTCAAAAATAAGCTTATGTAGCTAATGGCAGTTAACTGTAAGATATTAACACTAGCAGCAGAACAACTGCTGAAATGACAAAAAGCTCCCAGGTCTGCTGTTTTTGACATGTGTTAAATGGTTTGTGTTCTGATCTTACCTTTTGCATATGCACATTCAAACTCAACTGTTGCAGTAGGTAACAGGATTGTAGAAATCGAACTGGCATTTAAGGAGAAGAATCTTTTTATAGTACAAAATACAAATCTCTACAAATCTTTAAAATGCAAAATCTTTTTAAAAACCAGTTGAGTTTCAATTGGTTGCTTGAAATTAGGCAAGTCCTTACATGTTTTACAGTCAGTAGCCAGTTATTTTGGGCTTACCCAATAATAAATAATTAACTTTCTATTGAATGTTTCTTTTGCTTAATTTGTTTGTATTCTTGAGTTGGTATGTCAAATTTTGCTTCCAGTCAGAAAACAGAGCATGATTCTTAGCAGCAGAAGATAAGCCCTACTTCTTGTCTTTGGCAACTTCTTCACCCACTGTATTTTTCTAAATTTTGTCTGCAGGCAAACGTTATATTACTAAAGTTGCTTTGGAAGATTGTAATTTAATTGAAGAATTTAAAGCTGTGACCTGTGAAAACTGTAGGAAGGTGAGAGAAGATATCAGAATGTGTGTGTGCTTTGCTTTTTTTTTGTTATTATTTTTGAGGGTTTTTTAAGATCAAAGATTATAAAAATGATGAAATGATCAAAGATAAAGGTTTCAAAAGCTTGAGTGAGTAATTGTCATGCCATAAATAGTTACCTTGAGAGATCCTGGCATAATAAACACATTAGTTGTTTGTGTTGCCAGTGTTCATTGGAGAGTGTCTCCTTCCTCATCCTCAAAAAAAAAAAAGCCAAGGAAATGCAGTTAATATTGATAGAAGATTGTTCAATGTGATTCTTCTAGCACAGAAATAAGATGCTCGCAAATTCTTTTCCATGGGTTCCTTTAGTGTAGATGTTTTGACTTTTTTTTTCTATGGGAGTCTCATGAATTCCTATGTCTTCCTTGCTACAATTCCATAGTTCAAGAGCTACACTGAAAGGCACTGAGTAGGGAACTGGTTGAGCTGTGCTCAATCTACGTTGCTATTTGGAACATGCTCGCTTTTGATGACGACTATATTATGGAACCCAGGAGACTTTCTGAGTTACACCTGCTTTTCAGTTATTGTTCATTATGTTCCTGTGTCCATAATGCTTTAATTTGTACACTTTTAAGTTTATTAATTGCAATGAATTAAAAGTATTAAATTACAACTAATAGTGCATGCATACCCTGTTTTTACAAGCATAAAAACTTAGCTGCCTCATGTCAGATATTTTGTTTATGTCTCATTGGAGCTGAGTTTAATGACAGTGGTTGCTGAATGTGTTTTCTTCATTTCACAGAACAGTGAATCTATGAAACAGAAAGGAAATGAGGAATTTTCACAAGGAAACTTTGATCTTGCTATAATATCATATACTAAAGCCATAGAGTTTTGGTAAGAACTAAACTGGTTAACTAGATTGTGTTAAGTCATAGGTATTCAGCTTATTCAGATTTATCTAGATGTTGTATAGTTTTGCATGAGCTGCTCTACGTAGAGGCCAAATGATACCTAATATAAAAAAAAAGCTACAGAACACATTTTTTCTTCTATTTTGTTTCTTGTTACTAGTGGGTTTTTCTGCACTTTTACTGCCCTAAGAGTCCTGTTAGGGTTTGAAGCTGATCTAAAACGACTAACAGTAAGTATAGTAAACCTGAAAAGAAATAAGTTATTTGGTGTGAACAGCCACTTTAGGTATCATCCTTCCTAAATATTCTTCCAGCAGAAGAGTATGACCAACTGTTGCAAATACTTATCATCTTGGCTATGATGCAGAACTAGTGAATGAGCAAATATTTATTTCTAAGTATCTTCTCTTGGCAGCTCTGTATGTAACAGGCTTGATGTTCTTTGGGAAGAAATTAAACAAGACTTATGAAAAGGCATTTGCTGAAAGAGCTTTGGAGACTTTCCTGGGGTCTCTAAAGGTGCAGGGAGACAGAGATTCAATAACAGTTTATGTCCTATGCGTATAGAACATTTGTCCCCTTCCTGTAGTTCGCATGTAATGTGAGCTAGCTACAGAATGCTGGTTCGGTGTAATCACTACTTCTGATGTAGTTGTGCAAATGCTGCTTTTACAAGTTCTGGTGTCTATGAAATAAGGTGAAATTCATAAAATCCTGCCTTTCATAAATAATTGATTCTGCAAACGGTTTTATTTTTTTCATTTTGAAGTCTGTAGCTTTATAATTGTGCAGTTGAAAGGATTAGCATTTTGCTGATGTCTTGCTTCAGATTTTATGTCACATAGTAGGATATGTTTCACTCCTAAATTCAAGCTGATTTTAGCCTCCTTGAAAAGTTGGGTAGGCTGACTTTGGTAAAGTGACTGTACATGAGGTGATGGAGCAGGCTGAGAAGGCTTTGCTCAGGGTAGCTGATGGGGAGGGAGGACCAGAATTCAGTGAAAGAGCAAACGAAATCCCATGGCTTGGAAAGAGCAAAGTGAGTCTTGTGGCTTCCAGAGGCTATAGAGCTGGGCTGTTGTTACAGCTATTTGTTAGAAATTGTTCTTTGTCCCTAAGACCTTGCTGGAAGGTGAAGGGTAGCTCAGTGATGTCTGGCAGCTAGGGAATGCTTCATCTATTCTGTGCACTGTCTTCCTGTTCTTATTCTCCCAATGTTAGCTGACTTTCATTTGCTTCGTCATCACACTCCTTCCCTAACTAGCTGTATCCTCCCTTGGCTTCCTGTCAAGTGGTTTCTGGGTTACGTGTATACCAATTCCCCGCACTCATTCTCCATTAGGTATGTTGGGGGCTTCAGCTCTTTAGATCTGCTGCTTAGTCTACCCAGTCAGGCAGAGGGTTATGAAAAATTGTAGACCCAGTGATCCAGAAGTGTTAATGAGATGTCTGATTAAATTAGATCTTCAAAGTTAGGAAATCCAGAACAAAACAAAGTGGGATGTATGTGACAGTTGAGCTAGCTTTTCTGTGCTTCGTGCCTTTTTTGCCCTTTTGGGGGGGTGTTTTGTTTGTTTCTTTTGGTGTTTGTGTTTTTTCAAAACAAAGCTGACATTGTAGGGAACATACTAGCCCTACCTTTGCACCATTTGAGGTGTGCTTTGATATGTTTGTCAGAGCCTATTGAGTTAGGGAAGGAGTTTAATAGAATCATAGAATGGTTTGGCTTAGAAGGGACCTTGAAGATCATCTAGTTCCAACCCCCCTGCCCTGGGCAGGGACATCTTCCACTAGACCAGGTTGCTCAAAGGCCCATCCAACCTGGCCTTGAACATCTCCAGGGATGGGGCATCCACAGCTTCTCTGGGCAACCTGTTCCAGTGTCTCACCACACTCACAGTGAAAAATTTCTTCCTAGTATCTGATCTAAATCCACCCTCTCCCAGGTTAAAACCATTACTCCTCATCCTATCACTTACACCCCCTGATAAAGAGTCCCTCCCCATCTCTCCTGTAGGCCCCCTTCAGGTACTGGAAGGCTTCTATAAGGTCTCCCTGGAGCCTTCTCTTCTCCAGGCCGAACAACCCCAACCCTCTCAGCCTGTCCTCATAAGGGAGGTGCTCCAGCCCTCTGATTGTCTTTGTGGCCCTCCTCTGGACTCACTCCCAACAGGTCCATGTCTTTCCTGTGCTGAGGACTCCAGAGCTGGATACAGTACTCAAGGTGGGGTCTCACGAGAGCAGAGTAGAGGGGGAGAATCACCTCCTTCGACCTGCTGGTCACGCAACTCTTGATGCAGCCTAGGACACAGTTGGCTTTCTGGGCTGCAAGTGTACATTGCCGGGTCATGTTCAACTTCTGATCGACCAACATTCCCAAGTCCTTCTTCTCAGGGCTGCTCTCAATCCGTTCTCCTCCCAGCCTGTGTTTGTCCTTGGGGTTGCTCCAACCGAGGTGCAGGACCTTGTGCTTGGCCTTGTTAAATTTCATGAAGTTTGCTTTGGCCCACCTCTCAAGCCTGTGAAGATCCCTCTGGATGGCACCCCTTCCCGCCAGCATGTCGACCGCGCTACACAGCTTGGTGTCGTCAGAAAACTTGCTGAGGGTGCACTTGATCCTACTGTCCATGCCACCAACAAAGATGTTAAACAACACTGGTCCCAGTACTGACCCCTGTGGAATGCCACTCGTCACCAGTCTCCGCTTGGACATTGAGCCATTGACCACAACTCTTTGAGTGCAACCATCCAGCCAGTTACTTATCTACTGAGTGGTCCTTCTGTCAAATCCATGTCTCTCTGATTTAGAGACAAGGATGTTATGTGGGACAGTGTCAAATACTTTGCACAAGTCCAGATAGACAATGTCAGTTGCTCTTCCCTTATCCACCAGCGCTGTGGCCCTGTCGTAGAAGGCCACCAAGTTTGTCAGGCACAGTTTTCCCTTAGTGAAACTATGTTGGCTGTCACCAATCACTTCCTTATTTTCCATGTACCTTAGCATAGTTTAAAGGAGGATCTGCTCCATTACCTGGTTGGGCATGGAGGTGAGACTGACTGACCTGTACTTCCCTGTGTCTTTCTTATTTCCCTTTTTAAAAATGGGGGTTATGTTTCCCCTTTTGCAGTCAGCAAGAACTCTACCAGACTGACATGGCTTCTAAAATATGATGGATAGTGGCTTATCAGCAAAATCTCTCGCTGCCTTTCTTTACCTTTTTATTTTTTTTTAGTAGGTTGCAAGTGATTTGAATTGTTTAGAAATTGCATTAGTGGGCCCAAATCTTACAAATTGTTGCAAAATTAAAACTGATATTCTCAGTGACTTAACTTGTAAATCAATGGGACTGTTCAAGGAAGCTTGTATATAATTGTTGATGCTAGTGTGCTTGCAAACAGTTATTCTGAAAACTTTCTTCCACCCCCCCTAAGATTTTCAAAAGTAATATACATTACTAACTTTCAATATTTTATTTTTTAAGTCCTGCAAACCACCTTCTGTATGGAAACAGAGCTCTTTGTTTAATTCTCACAAGGCAGTACAAGTAAGTATCCCCTTGTTTGTAATCTGAAATTTTGTGGTGATCTGCATTTAAAAATAGGCAGTATACTTAGGAAAATAGTATTTTTAAAACTTAAGTAGATAGTAATTTTGATGTTACTACCTCATAAAACTGATATGACGAAAAATGAATAGTATTAGTTGTTTCTGTTTGCAGTATTTAATACCATTTAAAATTGGGGGGGGTTATACAATAGGAAAAAAAAAATCTCAGTACCAGTGAGTATTGTGATTTTTATTAAACCTCTTGAAGAAGAGATCACTGTGGGTATGGGGGTTGTTTTCCTTAAGGCTGTTGTTAAGCTAAAAATCTTGTCTATGAGCAAGGTGGGTGTGTATACATTTTAAGTAAGCCAAGCCAAGAATTTATAGTTAGTATAATTGAAGTCTTAAGGGTCTAATTGTTATTAGTCCAGATCTAATTGTCGAAATAAAAAGAAATAATAACAATGTAATTAAAATTGATATCCATGTGATTCTTAGCTTCTGTCCAATTTCCTGGTGTTATGCTCACCCCTCCACTGCTCTTCTGGGTGGGTACTGAAGCTGGCAGTTTCATCCTTTTAGCAGTGGGGTTTCAGAGCTCTCTATTTGTGGAGTCCTCTGGGAGAAAGTGATGTTCAGGCTGATGGTTTCTTCTTCCTCACTGTGGGATTCACTTGGTGTCACTTTTGTGTTTGCTAACATAACACCTTTGCGCTGTCTTTTGTTCTTCTGCAGCTCCGTGTTATCTCTGACTTTACTGTACATGGTCCTTTTATAGATATTATCTTTTCTTTATTACTCTTAAAATCTGTTTGTCCAGCTTTGACATGTCTTTAACTGACCATTGGTGAATTGTTTATAGCCTTGGGGTCTCCAGTGCCAAGCTTGTTCCCCATCTCTTGTCAGCTCGTGCCTACACTCCTGTGTTGCAGCCTGTGTCTCCACTTCTCAAGGCCTCTGCTGTCATATTAGGCTTGTATTTCTTTACAGGACATAATAATTTTGGAGTCATAAATACCTTATTCTGTATAAATAGTAGTAACAAGCAGTTACTCCATCTAAATCTATGGTTGTACCGCACAAAGGGAAACAAAAGTAGAACAAATCGGCTATAGACACCAGGCCAATTAGAGGAAATTGCTGTCACAGTTAAACCAAGTAAAAGAAAACTGCAGGCAGGTGAAACTGTAGTTCTGGGTGAGCAAGACCAAGAAGCCTCAGCCCTGAGGTTTTGCACACTCAGTACAAAGCTTATGGCCTGCTGTTGGCAGTGGCAATACTGTATTACAGGACTGTGCGGTTACATAGATCATCTGCTGGGGCACTTGTGGCTTTATCCAAGGTGCATGTCTTCCTCCCATTTTCAGAGCCTCGTGAGAGGCAGTGGTCACATTCCCTGCCAGGCTTTGATATGGGACAGGACCTTTCAGGGCTGTTCGGCCTTGTGTCATGATGTTTTGACAGTGGTCATGGGCAACTTACCTAGCACTGCCCCAGGCTGTCAAAAGGTGGCACCTGGAGGAAGGACTGGGCGGGCGAAAACAAAGCATAACAGCACGCCTTAGAGAACAAGACAAGTTGTCCATTTTTTTCTAATCTTTTCAACTGCTTTTGAAATATATTATTAGCTTGAGGTTCTATACCTGACTGTCTTTTAATCAAGCTTTTTTTTGTGTGTGTTTCCTTCCTTTAGAATATGAATATGGTGCAATTTCACCCATTCTAATCACTAGTTCTGTTGTGGTTTTTTTATTACTAATTTCTTTAAATGTTACTGCCACATCTCTAAATCCTGCCATTACTATAAGTGGGGTTTCACTAATTTTGGGTAGGGATTTTTTTTTTTTTTTGTTCTAACTTGCTTTCATTTCACTGCATTAATTCTTCCTGAAATCTCAGAAGAATTTGGTTGTGTAAAACATGTTCCTTGTCTGAAATTATTGTCTCTTTCAGGCATTTCTTTAGTATCAGCTTTCATTACTATAGACCATCTTGTTCTCCTCCTTCAGATCCCTCTGTACAAGTTTTTCTGCTATAATGGTTACAAAAACCACTGGTAGTGACTAGTCAATTTATGAACACTTTCAACTAAAACAAGATTTTTTTTTTTTCTTCCCCATATTCCTTCCTTTGGTGGAGGAAAAATAGTTAAGGCCTCGTAGGCCTTTGCAGGGCTCTCAAGTTTTGCTGCAGACATTTTGTAAAGACCTCACTGAGTCAGCATGATCCAGCTATTGAAGGAGTGAGTTATTTGTAAGCTTCCTCATCTGAAGTAAACCACGTGACCACTCTTTGTTGTAATTTACTACATCCTGACACATAGCAGTGAGGAACGAGTGGTATATTGCAAAGGTATATAAAGTCTCTATCTGCCTTCTTTGGGCAGCATTGATTTCAGCAGAGGCCATCACCGCTACTGTCTGCTCTGTAGCCATAGGGATAGTCTGCTTCTCTTCTGACCTGACCAAAATTGTACAAGGTGTTGTGGAATAACCAGAATTCCATGAAAAGTCAGTCAGGCATGTTCTTCAGCCTTCAGTTGTTGGGAGTTTTGGAGGTTACTGTCTTCCAGTGCTGAGCTTGTACCCTCAAATCTGTAACTACTCTCTGATATGATTTCTGTCAAAATATTTAGGCCTGGTATTCAGGCTTTTTATTAAGGTTTTGCTTTTTAAAGGAACATTTTGTTAGAACCCAGTTAGGGGTAGGTACATATGCAGAAATGCTGGAAAACCTAGTAGGTACCAGGAGGGAATAAATATCTGGTGGGTGAAACAGTTCAGACTGTAACATTGTAACCCAGGTAAGTTTCAGCTAAGACGTGTTATCTGACCATGCCGTTATGCAGATGAATGAACTGTTCTTTTATTCACTTTGTATTTTTATAGTGCCTTGTATATCCAATCTATAGATTTTTCTGAAGTATCAATAATAAATACCTCTTCTTTTTCCCTCTCTTTTCTAAGGAGAGCCCTTGCTGATGGAAAAAGAGCCATTATTTTGAAGCCTAATTGGCCAAAGGTTAGTTTCATATACCTTTTAAAGTTGTGTTTTGTTCATGCTGTGAACCAAGGTAAGAACCCAGAGTCATAGTTATAGATTTGACCCAGGTAGATGTGACACGTTCTCATGTGTTTAGCACTAATGACAGTAGAATGAACATAGTACCTTGGGGATTAAGAATTCTGCTTCAGTCAGCCAAATAAATAGTTTGCTTATATTTTTATATTAAAAATGTTATTTTGACATGTTTGGAAGTGTTGTTATGTGCATGTTTACACATGTTCTGCATGTGTAAAGACCAAAGAAAACATTTATTACGTTGTTGTGCTTAACTACATTATTACAATGCTTTAAAAATAATATATGTAGTCCTTACAAGAAAAAAATCCTGATTAATGGCCAACATGTAATCCCCAATATTTTTGGCCTAAAGAAGAGGAAATAAGGGATAGTCACAAAATTGGAAATTAGTAGTTGAGATTAGGTGAAAGAGCAAATCTGCTTTTTTTCCAAAGCAAGAGGCTAGATGCCACTCCTAGTGAATTATCTTTCTGTTTCAGTGTACTGAGTAGTTGAGAACTTTGGTTGTTCATTATTTGATCTGAAGCAGGTAGAGTAGATAACTTCTAAGTATGTTAAATTTTACTTTATATTGTCTACTGCAGCTGTTTCGGATATCGATTGTTTTCTTATTTGTGTGAATGAATGCTTGAAATTCAGACTTATGTCCATGTTAGGGTCACTACCACTTCTGTAAGGCGCTGTCTTTACTGGGGGAACACGAACTGGCTTTGGAAGCTAATGAGAGAGCTCAGGAACTATGCAAGAATATTCTTGATGGACTTAAGGATCTTATTCAACAGAATGACAAGTTAAAGAAGACATTAGAAGAAATTAATGGTAACTTTTTCTGATTTCAACATCTACCTTGAACACAGGAAAATTCCTTCATTGGTAACTTTCCTTTGAAACTAGCTAATTCTTTTATTTTTCCTTTCTATATGAATTTCTATAGGTATTAAGCAAGATAAACAGAAACCAGAGAAGTTGCTCCTTGACAAAAAGTAAGCAAGTGTCAAGTTTTGTTTTTTTTTGATTAGCAATGCTTAGTATAAGATTTAAGTAATCCAAAGCATAGATACTGTTTAAATTTTGTTATCTATCAGTAAATAAAAATGGAAAGAATAAACTTATTAGAACTGCAACCAGAGTGCAGCCTAGGAGTAGAGAGGGCTTTTAGGAACTAAGTAAGCTATCTTGAGACGTATTCCACTTCTAAGCAGTTTCCTTGAGCATTAAGTTTTACCCATGTTGCAAATAACAGGAAACAGTCACGTTTTCATGTTTTTTGTTCTCTCAGCTTGAAGTACTTTGCTGTTGAGGAAATTTAGTCCCTGAAAATGTCAATACAATCGCATTCACTTTTCTGTATTAACTTTGTTATGTAAAGTTCATTCGGAGATTAAGCCTATTTGAGGAACTGAATGCTAGCAAATGCATTTTGGCAACGGTAAAAATGAATGTGTCTCCTAATATGTAGGAACTTGGTTGTGCCACATATATTCTGTGCTTTTGCCTTGCCTAGAGAGAGCAAAAGAGATTCCATATTCACAGATCCAGCTAAGTTACAATGTATGCTGTAACATTAATAATTTTTCTGAAAGATTTTTTCAATTTTTATTGGTCTACTTGTAGTGATGTGTTATCTGTCATTCAATAACAGTACAGTAAGCAAACTACTAAACAGCTTTTTGTAAACATGAAAATTTTGGAGGAACTTAAATTTGTTGCCCTTCTATACCACACAAATAAAATATTGGGCAAGACTTTAATTACCTTTTTAAAAAAAAAGTGCAGTAATGCAGTTCATGGCCCTTTCATAGAAAATGGTGCTTTTTTTTGTTGTATTTTTGCATAGCCTTTGTGCAATTTGAAGGTATAAAAAAAGACTGATCAAATCCTTTAAATACGTTTATGCCATTACACTTCCATGAGTGGTAGACTTCTTGTATTTGTCTTTTTCTTCATGGTACATGTATGATATGCATCTTAAATATGGGAAAAAGACATGAACACTGGAAGAACTAAGGTTCTCTTTTTTGACGTATCAGAGACTGCAGTTCTTCAGAATCTCATTTAATAATGTCTCAAGAACAAAAAGAAATAGAAGACAGAAAGATAACACAGTCTGATCTTAAAGATCATCATTGTCATCAAAAACACGATACCAGGGTAAGTTATGCTACAGCTGGCATTACAAGATTAACAGTGTGTTGATTTTTATAATCCTGGAATGTGTTATTTAATGTTGTGACTGAAATTTTGCAGCCACTGTGTTTTAATAATTGTGTACTCTCTCAGCCAGGTGCACTTTTCCTGTAATATTTAACTACCAACTCTATGTTCAGAACTTTGGCTTTGAAAGGAGGTGGGAGATGTTTACTTGAATGAGAATGTGGAGGCTGTATGTTATGAGGAGGAGAGGCGTCTCTTTGGGCTTATTAAAAATGAGTCCGGAGTCAGGTCTGACTGTCAGTGTACATTCAGATACGGGCTTCCCTTTGGCTTTAGGAGAGGACTCAGTTAACGTGTAGTGGTGTAATGCAGCTCAGTGGAAGATCCTTTAGACAAAGTTAATTCATATAGAGGGCTTCTGCTATACTGGAGCTTTGTTTTGTGCTGATATTGTGACATAAAGGTATTGGCATGGCTATAGACCATTATTTTAATGCTCTGTAAACACTTCTTTTGTATGGCAAAAATGTTGGTTAAATAGTGTGCTTAACTGGATTGTATTTAAAACAGGGTTTTGTCATTCTCAAATATCTGTTTGGCTGATGTGTTTAAAACAAGTGTATTATAGTGCAAGATACAAGATGGGCGTGCGTTATTTTAGTAGCTCTTTGTAATTCTTTAGATTCGTTCTTTCAATTTCAAAGACAGTTTACAAGCGCACATTTTCTATTAGTTTACTTTTATTAACTTTCTTAGTGAGGACAGCTTAAAAGAGAAAGTGAAGCTGTCACAATGGAGTTCTAGACTGCTTAAAGAGCCACTGCCAAAAGTAGCAGTAAAAGTAGTTTTATTGATGTAAGATGATGTAAAAGTGAGGCTTAACATAGTTTTATGGCATGGTTCAATCTATTACTCTCTGCCCAGAAGATATCCTAAGGAATCAAAGTTACCAATGCAAGATCTTAATGCCCTGTGATACAAAGTTATGTGTGTATCGGTCATTTACCAAAGATCTGCAGTTGGTCAGGGGTCTCTCAACCTTGAGGAGTAACCAAGTCAGCTGTCCTGGCTGTGTCCTCTCCCAGCTTCTTGTGTACCCCCAGCATACTCACTGCGGGGGGGCAGTGTGTGAAACAGAAGAGTCCTTGATGCTGTGCAAGCACTGCTTAGCAATAACTAAAACATCCCTGTGTTATCAACACTGTTTTAATCACAAATCCAAAACACAGCACCATGCAAGCTGCAATGAGGAAAATTAACTTTATCCCAGCCAAACCCAGTACAGATGTTTTTATTCCTTAAAAAACAAACACACACCCTCAAAAAAAAAAGTGCTAAGTTGGGGGATTTTTTTGTGCTTACCTTATTTTAGGTGGTTTTTGCTAGTGGATGTTAGTGGAATTTCCCAGCTATTGCTGTCTTAGTGCTTATCTCACGTCCAGTATCATGGGAAGTGTGGCAACCACTCCTGTGCAGAAATTTTATTGAGTGGTTTGCTTTGCTGGACACACACAGATGGTGACAATCTTGCTGTAACAGCATGGAATTAAACATTTAATAATCGACCTTCAGTTTGCTTAGAGACAGTCCTTCTGTTTCGCTAATTGCTAATTTAAAGAAACATTTGTACCTCTCTGATTGTCTTTACCATCATTGTTGTAAGATAATTAATAAATTGTTTGTTATAATTTAGCCTATAAAATATGTTATAAATAACCTCTATAATGTAGAAAACAAGGTGACAAATAATATGAACCTACTAGCAAGGTAAAAACAATTCAGCACACACATGAAAAAACACTTTCAGGTTTCATGGGAGGGTGGGGCAGCAAAAAAATGACTCAATAGTGGGGAAAATGAAACCAATGTACAAGGGCAAAGGCAAGGAAATGAAACGTAGAATTTGTTGACAAAGAGATATCTATAGAACCCACAAGAAATGCTTAAAGACTTTTGACTCATAACAAAAAACTTTCATCTGCTTTTATGCTATGAAAATCTTCATAATGTAAGTCTGTGTAAATTTATCTTCCTTTACGATGAATATTATTGCAAAAAAGGTAAGAAGGCTAGTATTTGTCAGGCTAGTAGATAATATTAATTGGTATGAATTTGAGGGGGAAAAAGTGTAAGTGTACAAATGTACTTTGAATTAAATTATTTTTCTTTACCTCTTGGGGACATAAGATACTGTATTATCATTGTGATTTCTTTGTTTAAATGTTAGTGTTTTAGTTTTTTCCTTTGTTAAAATTTAGTGAGTGATTTGTCTATTTGTTTTTTGTTATCTGCATAAAACCAATCTAAAATATTTGTCATTAGGTGACTGATGTCCAAAGAACAGAAAGCAAAGGTTGGTCTCTGGAGTTTCCACCAAGTGAGTTCATTTTTGCTATTTATCAAGTCTGAGTTGGTTCTTCCCTTGCTGTTGCTGTTATTAAGAAGCAAAAGTGTACCTAGTGTTATTTTCACAACAGTAAGCTATCATGTTTCACTTCTGTTAGTGTACAATTACTTAGGTACTTCTCTCCTGCATTTTTCTTACGTCCTTCCTAGTTTTGTGGTTTGAATCTGCTTGACATGGGTGAATTCAGAATTGAAACTGAAACTAAAAGGTAGAATGCTGACTCACAGGCTAGAAATGCTCTCCCTGCTTCTGAGACAGGTACAGGATCTAAAAGGATCTGAATTTAAGAGAAGTGCATGGGTAGTTTCACTATTCAAGTTTCTTTTGTGATAACTAATAGCTCCTTATAGATTGTTAAGAAAATAATCCTGCAGTTAGGGAGGAAGGAGGCCACAAGATATCTGTCAGAGTGGATTTTTAGCTACAAACTTTAAAAGGTGTAAGTTGGTGTGGTTTGTTATTCATGTTTGGTTTTTTAAATGAATAATAAAAAAACCCCAACCCTCTTATTGCGAGAACTCCCACCCTTCAAAACTCCCACAGTGACAGAGTTACTTTTCTGTGGTGAAAGTGAAGTGCAAGCAGTTATGGTCTTCGAGTTGATATCTTTTCCTGAATTTTGCTTGGGATTTTACCACCTGCTAAACCTGCTGTAACTAAGATATTTCTCTGACATTAAGAAATTTTTCTTATTTATCATATTTGTATGGAATACTCCTACTGGATGTATTTAGAATACATGCTTACGCTGTATTCTAAAGTTGTGACGTCCAAGGTAGTGGGTCCTTCTAGTCCTGACCATGCAACAGTCTGAAGTCCTTGGTGCCCAGCTGTACTTTTCTTTGGACTTTGCATACTTAAATACTTAGCTGAATAGGTGCCAAAGTGCAGATTTTAGGAAAATTTTTCGTTTTAGGAAACCAGTGAAGAGATATTGTGAAATGTTATTTTAAAATGAACAGTAGGAGAAGTGATCTTAGTCTTGTGGACTTTGGACATCTGCAAACATCTTGAAGAACTGAAGGATTTACTGGAAGATGGAAACTGTGGGAAACATTGCAAAGAATAGTCAAGACAAATTTTTTTAAAAGATGTAATGTGGTAGGATAATAAAAAAGGAAAGTGTTGAAGGAACTTACTGCAGAAAGCATAAATCAGAGAAGGGTTTTAGAAAGGGGAAGTCAAGCTCTAGAAGACAAACCAGTTTTGAGGAACTATATGTAGATGGTGTGAAGAGGGAAAATAAGAAATGTACAGAGGCCATAGGGAATTTTAAATGAGTATGACAACTAAGGGAATCCAGACATTTTCCTGAGCGAGAAGGTGTGGTCTGAATAGTAACAGAGTCTGATGACACATTATAAAACACAACTTTATTGAGGCAGTGGGAAGGATCAGCAACAATGCGCCCATATGGCAACCTGCCCAATCACCAACCCCAAACACAGGATTGTAAGTGATGCTCTGGCTCCAGTGAACTGCCAGGGACACTTGGTGTTGAGCTCACCTGGCAGGAAGAGCAAATTGTGCAAGTTCCATTTGAATGCTGGTAAGAGTTGCGCTGCGCCTCTGCTCCACCAACGGTAGCAGGATTTGAGGTAGCTGTACTTTACATGAATAATGTGGGCAGTGTCCTGCTGCCCATGTTGGTCAGGGCACACGGTGTCAGCAGTCTGTCTGTGCTGCTGATACTGGTCAAGGGCAGGGTGTCTGCAATCTGTCTGTGCTGCTGATGTTGGTGAAGGGGCAGGGTGTCAGACGGATAGCTGATTTTTAGAGAGGTTGAGGAGGGAAGAGGGATAAAGAAAGGCTGAATGTTGGGAGAGAACTAAAAATTCTTCTAGGCTAAAATGATCATAGGACTATGAAATGTTGCGTTCAATGTAGCAATTTCAAAAAAACCCGTCCTGATTCCATAGGTTCTTTTTTTTCTGTTCTTCCTTCCTCCTTCTCTTCTCCCCCTCATTATGTCAGTAGTGATGTAGAAGGAAATATTTGATTTGGCCTTGATGCTCTGAATGACTGGCTGATACAAGTTTACTGTGGGCGGGGAAGAACAGCTTTCTTTTTCTGAGCCTTTGTTCATTTAAAGGCTTAAGACTTTCAGGAGATTAATGTAAAGGAACTTTATGCCACTTATCTTAAAGTTGCTGTACTTTTTAATTTCAGTTTTTGTCTGCATGTACTATTTTTTTGAGCATGTGTACATTTCTGTTAAGTATCTTTGTCTGCTTCTAATGGGAATGCCTAGCAAAAGCCATACTAGTTCTACTAATATTTTAAAATGTTTGTGGGGTAAGTAAATCATGTTTGCTGTTGAATTAATGTATTTCCTTAAGTATTTTAACTGTATTTTTTAGCAGGATTTGATTGTTGCTTTTATTGAAAAATATTTTTTTTAAAATCTGAAAGTCTTTTTAAGTTGGGTGGTATATGGGAGTAGTAGTTTCTGTAGGAAATTTTTCTGAAATAATTTTTGTTGAATGGCTTTTAAAATTAGAACATTCAATGAAAAAATAGTGCTGATTAATTCTTTCTTTTGTTGGTGAGAGCGAAGGCTTGTATTTCTTTATCTTCTTTAAGATTTTGTTTTGAATGATAGATTGGTTCCTTAAGGGAAAGGAACCTGTATAATGAAGAAAAGGTAATATATCTTTATCTTTAAATGGTTAAATGATGATATGCTTGAAGTGTTTCTGGCTTTCAAAAGGATTATTGTTTTCTGTCATTTAAATATCTCTATTATGAGAGTTTGTGATGAAGTGTTCAAGGTCAGGCTTTGAGCAACCTGGTCTAGTGGGAGGTGTCCCTGCTCATGGCAGGGGGGTTGGAACTCAATGATCTTTAAGGTCCTTTCCAACCCAAACCATTCTATGGTTATTAGTGTAGCTTTGCAATTTTTAATGCATGTGAATTGTTTCAGCTGACACCTATTTAGATTCCCGTGTGACAGTTTCAAGAAATGGTTCACAAAGTAATTGTGAACACATACAATTTTCATGATGCTTGATTTTTGTTGTGATTAATTTAAATTTTGTCATTAAGTAGTTATTAACAAAAAATTACTCATGTCACAAGACATAAAGTGCGTATGCATACAATTTGAATTAACAAATGAGTACATGAGCCATCTCACTGGCTTAAATGAGATTACTCAAATAGTCAGATTTGTATTTTTCCACAATCAGTGTCTTTCAATATGTTGTATCTAATTGTATAAAATACTTTTCTGTGTATTTTTCTGAGTACTTTTCTGAGTAAATTTACTGAAACTTTATATATAAAAATAACTCCTTTTTTTGATTTTATGGTAGTTCAGTATAAGGATAATAATAAGTCAAAGCAATATTTAATTATTTAGGTAGCTGTACTTTATGCTTGGGTTTCAGTGCTCAAATAGCTTGAATCCAGGTGCTGGACTGTATGTTGTCTGTGTGATTGTATCCAATATTAGGAAGTCACAGCTGCCTCCTAAACTGCTCCTGAAGGATTATAGCTGGAATTTATCCCCTCTTGGAACAGGTAGCTGAGGCATTTCCTGTGTGCCTTGTAAAATCCATTAGGTTTAACTAGCAAAAAAATCTGCTGCTCTGCACCTCTTCAACTTACTATGTGTAATAAGGAACACATGCAAAATGTGATGCTCAGCAATTCTGCAACTGAACTTGTCAGCTGCTTGTTGGTTCCTTACCCGTCCGGAAATGCTATTTTTTTGCTTTCCTTGTCTACTCGTCCAGTTTCTAGAAGGCAGCTCTCCCGTAAGTGGATTTTGTCACTGCTGCTGTTGAGTCATTAATGCCTTGTAAAGTTCTAACTTAAAATTCTTGAAAATTAAAAACTTCTTGACTTCATAATGAGCATGCATGTGCACGTCCAGATGCCTAATATTATGTTTTAATTCCACAGAAAATGGTTGAGAGATTATTTTGCAGTTAATGGCATGGCTGCCTGTTTTTGACCAATTACAGTAAAGCATCAGAATATGTTTTCTTCTTCCTTGTTACTAATGCATTGTTTACTCGGCTTGTAGAGCCCTGTAACTAACTAATCAACGACACCATTAGATCGCTGAAGTTGTTAAGTGTATTAGTAAAGTTTTCTGTTAAGTCTTTGACATTAAGTTCCAAAGTTAGAAAGGAATCAGTATCACGTCATAGATTCTTTTGTTTCTTTGACAATGTGGAAATACTGGATCACAAACATTTTTATTTTGTAATCAGGGATGTTTCTCTCAATCTAGCTCATGTGTTTACATTTCTAAGATTAACGTGGGTCGAACTTGACTGCTTTAGCAATGTATTTTTGAAGTAGCAGACTCTTTCTGTAAAATTTATGTAGTCAAACTTGAACTTCCATAGTGATCTATTATTTCCTATAAAAATTCTAGTTATCAAATAATAGTGAATAGTATCAATTGTGGTTTTGTATAACATACTGTTTTCTTTAGCTTGGAGTCCACTTTAATAGTTGTTACAATATTCTGTTTGTTTGTGTCTTTTCCCCTTTATAGGATTAATAAAATCCTACGCTATTTAATAAAAATAATATCCATTTCATACTGCAACACTCACAGGTGGCTTTTTGAAAAACTTTTCCATTATGTTAGTTTTTGATATTGTAAGTGTTTATGATCTATTATATATAAAGGAAAATGTGAGTTCTGAGTGCATTTTTTTTCCCTTTTTTTTTTTTTTTAGGTGGTGATAGTTTTGTTTTAAATACTTTTTCTTGTTACAGGCCGAAGTCATCAAAACAAAGGAGGGCCAAAAACCAAACATGGTGACTCTGAAAAGACAAGGTAAGAAATTTTATTTATTTTTTAATTTACTAGTATTTTGAGTTATTTTATGTAGCACTTAAAAAGGGGTTAATGCAACTTTGACTTGCTGCTTGCTCTTTGCTAATTGCTTTCTTTACATTGTTTACGTACTCTTCAGGATATTGTTCATGTTAAGATAGCTGATTAAAGTTCATAAAATTCCAGTTTTCGCGAAGAGCCTGAGTTATTACTTGAAAATTAAATATTTTCTCATGCTCATTTGAATTTTAGTAAAGGAAGGTATAATTTTAATAATGCTGTTTAAAACCTCTTTTCCAAAAGCAAGTCACGCAGTATAGCCGTAACAAAAAAAGTGCTTCCTTTACAGCAAAAGATAATAGGAATCTTGTTCCAGTTGTTACATTCAAACTTACACCACAACATAACTCAAGTTCTATCTTATTTTCAAGGCCTCTTTGTACTAGTTCTACTCTTTGTACCACATAGTTTTTAACACTTCTCTGACATTTCATATGCTTACTGAGAAGAGGTTTGATTCCAAGGAAAGTGTTTTAAGTCAATATCAGAATTGAATGCTACAAAAGAACTTTTACTTAAAGGGTCCTTTAGTTGTTTGCAGACTTGAATTTTCATTCAAAGCATATCAATGTCTAGTTTTAAGTACAGGAATACTCTCCATAGAACATGCTGAATGTGAATGAGTATGTTTGACAGTTTGGGGCCAAAATTAGATTAGTTGAGATAAAAAGCACTATAGGTCTTAATGGAAAAAATTTATGTGTCCATCTGTTACAAAAGTTAAAACAAAATTTAACAAAATAAATAATTATTTCCAGTGATACTGAAGCAAACCTGCTCCAAACAGGTTTGGGGAAGTTGCTGCATTTATAGGTGGTTCTTTATGCCAGTGTATTTCCTCATCTAATAGATAGTTAAGAAGTAAAGAACTGTTACTGCTGACTTATTTGTAAAGTGACTGAGGCAAATGATGACTTATTATTTAAGACCACACAGAGATGGAAGTTTTCAGTGTTTCAACCCGAGCTGTGGAATTAGACAAATTAAGCTCTGACTGTAATGTCTTGCTTGTGTGCTTGTTCAGCTAGCGTTTTGTAGTTGTGTTGAGGATGATGTTTACATTGAAATGAGAAAGTTTACATTAACTGATAATTTTTAAAGGCATATTTCTCATGTAGAAGAGTGCAGGCCTTTAGGAAACCTGGGAGCTGAACCTGATTATCCCCAGTCCTAAATTAAGTGTGACCACAAAACCTACCATCTTTTAGTCTATGTTTATTACAGTACAGGCCTTTTGTTTTTCCATAACTTTATTTGAATAACACTGTAACTAGGATAATTGAAACTTCATCACAGGAGAGGTCACTTATGTTATTTAGTTGGGTTGCCACTGACTTTTCTCCTTTCACTTTAAGAGGGGGGGAGGGGCGGGAAACATTAGAATTCCCTGTGGGAACAAATCCTCTGTAAAGTAACTGAACCATGTACAAAATTGCTTCTCTCCTGGTGGAGGAAGTTGTTTAGACCTATAAAACCCACACTATTTCTCAAAAAGTGAGGTGCATGGTCAGTTATAGGCTTATCTCCATTTTGGTACTTGGCAAGTTGCTTGGCTTCCAGAAATCTAGAGAATCCTCTGAAACTGTAAAGAGTTTACCTCAGATTATGAGTGTTTGCCTTTGAATGTGGGGCAGAACTAAATGTATATTAGCAAAAGGCAATATAGTAGCATTGAACATTGACTAGCAATCTTAGCATTGAGTATTTACTTTAGAGTATTAAGCAATACTTTACCTCTTTATTATACTTTCTCCATTCATCTAGTTGCGCATGGTGTTTCTGCTGCAGTAGTGGAAAGGAAGAACTGGGAAGAACAACTCTGTTCCTCTCTTTTCTGCTCTCCCTGCCCCCACCATGCATAGCTGCTATATGTATTTGATTTTAAGCAATGATTATGCTAGGATAAAGGATGTTTGTGCTTAGGAACAGCAGAGAAGGGGAAAGAGGCCTAAGCACCTTCTTATACTGCTGCTTATCCCACCCCTTCATAAGATCAACTCAGCTGAGAATAAGGTGGAAAAGATAAAAGAAAACAAATAAAATGATGGAGAAGTCTGCTACTTTGCTGAAGCCCTAGTGATTCCTGAGCCAGAAGTATATTAACTATATGAATAATATCATAATCCTTGATAGCGTTATAGTGCTTGTTATCACAATTGTGAAAGTGTGCCATAATAATCTCTAGCATGTAGGCAAATGTGATGTAGTTGATAAAAGTGCTGAAATTTCTGTTTTTTGAAAATAAGATTACATATAAAGTACATGTACAAACTCATTATGCCATTGTCCTGTTACTTGTAGAGATCACCTTGATTTGAAGATAGAGTCTAAAGCAATCCAAGATAAACTCTTCTGTACTGCGCAACAGGTAACTGGGAATTCGTTATCATACGACCTTCAGCTTAAATGCTTTGTTGAGTTTTAGTAACACTGTCCAAAACCTCAGTTCATTAAAAAATTTAACGCTTCATGCTTAGCTTGACTTTTATCAGGAGACAAAGACTGTGTGATCACACTGATTTATACAGTCTTGTTCCAGTAGTCTGTTTTTGCTTCTCCTCCTTCCTGTAAGACCTCACACTGCAAATTTAGGGTAACAAAACTCAGTCTAGTCATTGAATAACTGAGATAAAACCATGAGTTAGTAATATAGCTCCCTCGTATCTTAATTTGTAAGAAAAGTGACAAAAATACCTGTGAATCATTCAAGGATTTCTCATACCCCTCCCAGAATTCTGATGTATTTATAAATATGTTTTTCCATGTTTGATACATACCTTTGGAAATAGTCTTAGAACATTTTATTGAATGGCTGTTTAAAACGCTGTAAAATTCATAAATTGGAATTCTCCTTCTCAGGTCTTATCAGCAATGAATGAGTATCCCAAAGTTCTTGAATGAAATCATGGGGACTTACACAAGTAATAATTTCCTCTCTGTTAATTTGGGGAAGTGGATACCAGAAATCTCTATTCTGATTAATTACCTCATAAGATAAAACTGGATTCAGGAGAAGGTGCAGGTTCTGCACTAAGACCCATTATTTCTGTTAAAATACCTGGTTTTGTAAGGCTAATGCATTGCTAGTGTTGAAAGTAACGTTTTTAGTTGGCTTAATCAGCTTCGTATGTCATGTAGCTTGACATTGTTAGCTTAATATTAAATTAATATTATTAGTTGTTTTCTATAATTATATCTCTGACAGCATTACGTTGTGTCAGTAGTTCTAGGAAATTAAAATAAGTTTCAATCATTTTTTCATTAACCCATTTCTACATTTTGGTATTTTCTGTACCTTCCACTTTTGTTTATAACTGTAATTAGATCATGGGTATTTTCTTATGTTTTTCCTTTTTGTTCAGTTGACAGGATGAAGACAAATAAGATTTAAATTCATAGATGCTTAGGAAAATACATTTAGGACATGCATTAAATTTAGTATGTCAAAAGTACAATTAAGTAGACCATTAGAATAATGTGAAAAAAATCAGGCAACTCAAAAGTTATGTTCCATTCTTCCTAGACCTTCCCATTCTTTCAGTTTTTCCCTGCCCACAATTCCCTCTTCAGAATCCCAGGCTCAAATGTTAAATACGGAAGCGGGGAGAAAAAGGGGCAGTTAACGAAAAGCCTGTAAAGCAGGATTAGTTCATACTGAAGATTAATTCATACTGAAATGAGGTAGTGGCCTAAAGTACACAGGCTGGCCTCTTCGTTTTTTGCTTACGATTACAGGAGTAGGTCTTGGAGGAGCTTCTTAAATAGGCACATTACTTCTACCCTGGTACAATGATCTGCCTCACAAAGCTAATTTTATTTTAGTGTTTCAGCAGATCAAGGGAATAGTAATTCCTAATTTTGCAACTGCTTGTCTTGATTTACAGTCTTGCTGCTGGAAATTCTCGCAGACTTCAGGAAGTATCTGTGGTCAAAGGCTACTAACGTAATGCATTCCGAAACCTTCTAGCATTAATTATTAACCTAGATGGAGAGAAGGTATAGGCAGAAGGAAATAGTTCTCGGGTTTCTCAAAAATGTTTGTACACAATATGGAGTGTACAAGTGAGGAAGAGTGTAAGTCTGTTTTTTTAATTAATGTAAGAAGGTTTAAAATTATACTTCAACTAGTCTTGAAGTTTTCTGGAGAGAAAAGGATCTAAACTTAGAACAAAAACTAGATTTTTAAGAGATTAGCAGCAGTAGATCTGTGAAAATCTTAAGTTTTTAGAAGTTGAATTTAAAACAGAGTTTTATAAAAATGTAACCGATTTGCTGCTTTAAAAGTGAAATTGTGATAAAACTGTAGGGATTACAGAATTTTAACAGTTGTTTGTTGGATAAGTATTTTAGCAAATAGCTAGCTTGCTTGCTTTAAAAAAAAAAAAAGACTTTTCTTTTGGACTTATTGTTTTTGTGAATATTTTAGGTGGATTTAACTATGTTGGCAGAACAGGTTAAATCCCTTGTTTATAACGGTTATACAGCCTTGATGGACCAGCGGTGTGTCAGTGCCGAACAAACTTTCTCACAGTTGTTGAACATTCTCAATCCTTCAGAATTAAAGGTAAACTGAGAGGAATAACTTTGTTTGTTAGAGTAATTGAAGTTTATGCTTTCAATACTGTGTTTCATTATTTCCTTCCACCAAAATAGTAATTATTATTGTATTGTTGCCTGTGATGTTGACTACAGTGCTAAGCGTTTCACTGATAAGTATGCTAAGGAGCTTACAAATGAGAACAAGATAAAAAAATTGATAGTAGCATACGATGTATTTTTCTAGATGCAATCTAAAAAATATTTACCAAAATAATATTCTTGTAAGAACATGTCCTGTGTTAAGCTGAGACAATTAACTCTGGGCAAACCCATCACATTCCTGTATAAGCCACTCTTATCAAATATCTTATTTGATAAGAAACTACTGTGCATTGTCAGGTTGATCTTTATTCATAATAATGTAGGGTAAAAAGAATTTATATTCTTCAAGTCAGATAACTCTTAGATAGCAAATGCTGTGAAATTTTGTGTATATGTATCTAGCCAATCAGCCATTGACCCATTTGTTGTCCTAGCTTTCTTTAAATTATTGTACTGTAGTATTCAGTTTTGTGTGACAATGTGTGTGCGCATGCGTTGCTGTGTTTCAAGCTCCTATTTTAGTAAGGGCTTTTGCAGTGCCAACAAGAAATCTGTCCAAGCAAGTAATGCACCAGTCCATCTGTAATTGTGACCTAGTTTATTAGGAAGAAAAAGGTTGAGAAAGGTTTGGATTTTTTTTAATTAAAAAAAAAAAAGGAAATAAATCTGCTCAATTCTGAACATGAAATATAGCAAAGACACACTGCACTGCATAAAGTCAACATAGTAAGGCTTGTAGTTGTAGCATTTCTAAAAGCAGATGTTTCAGGATGTATCACTTTGAAATGTATAGGGGTGCAAATTGGCCAGCAGTAGAATTGTAGTTAACCTTCACTTTTTATGCTAATTGTAAGATAAATGTGGGTAGAGGCTATGACAGGAAGGATGACAAAAGAGTTTCCTAGCTCTGTTGTAGTGAAGATCTTCAATTCACAGTAGGCAGTAGTTCTAGTTACCAGCAAAGTGAGTTTGTGCATGCTACTACTATAATTTGACTCTCTTTGCAGCAACTGAATCTTCGTATTATTAATTATGTTGTAATCATCTATGGACATGCTACTGCTCTTCTTGGAATAGGACAACCTGAGGTATGACAGACATTAAGCAACTATATTGCTTTTATTCAAAAGTCTAGTTCAGGTAGTTGGACATCCATTTTTGTCTCTTCTGAACAGACATAAAATGAGTGGGGAAGGAAAGCTTTTGTCACGTTTTAGAATGATACGGTTTAATATCTGGTACTACATCTTAAATGATTTTGGATAAATTAAGTTACCAAATAAAATTTATTTTTAAGCTTTCAAATGAGATTCTTAAGTATTAATGAAGTATGGTCAGTTAATTTTCTTCTACTTTGTTATAATGTGGTTATGCACTAGTCGTTCTGACACAAACATTCTGCTTCCAAAACAAGAGAAAGAGGATACTTTTGGTTCTGGAAAACACCAAAACAGAAGTGTGGGTTAGTTGGGGTTTTTTGGGGGTTTGTTTATTTTCCTGCAATGTTTAAAAATATTCGGTGTCTTACAATGAATTTAAGAATGCCTGTGTGTTCAGCTCAATGAGCTCAATCATTTAATTTCATTATTTCAGAGGAAGCCCATGTTTACAGTATAAGTTAATTTTTTTAAAAAAAGGAAACCTTTGTGTGTGATCATAAGGTTGTGTAATTCCCTTTACTGTCCATGAGACTGATCAAAGAAAAGGGCATACTGACCCCTCTACTGGAGAAAAAAAAAAAAAAAGGAGAGGAAGCTGAAAAGCTTCTGGCAAAGTGTCACATATTTTTGTCTTAAATGTATTTTGAAGGCATTGATAAAGGCTGAAGACCAGTTTAAGAAAATAATTGAAGAGTTCCAGGAAGAAAGATGTGGTTGTTTGGCATACTATGGAATTGGAAAAATATACCTCAGACAAAACAGGTTGGTATTGTTATAAATAGGGCTACTCACCAGGCATATGATTTCTTAAAAATCAATGATTTATTGGATAAGGCTCAAGCAAACAGCGCTGGGCGCTGTGGGAGCGAGTTTCTTCCCGCAGCTATTACAATGGCATTTCCCTTATTTATGCCCCAAAGCTTTGCATATTCATTTGATTTCACAATCAACTTATACATAGTAATTTTCTAGCCACACCCCTCCCCGCTTCGTGTTATAATTAGCTAAAAGATCCTGAGTCTGCGCAGTGCTTTCTGGTGGTCGTTTGAGGGACCCCAAGATGAAGTAAAGCTGGTCTTCCTCAGGCGAACTTTTCACCTTCTTGTTCCTTTGGCCTGGGTCCGAGGTTCGAACCAGTCTCGGCCGGTTCTTGGATAGTCTTTCTTCATTGTAGCATTGTAGAGGTAGTCACTGTTCATTACAGCATACCGCACAAAAACTTAACCACATTTATCTTAGGACCGTATTTGGATATACAGCTCATTAATCTATTGCTCAAGCATATAGATGCACATCCTACTTCTAGCTATGCTTAGCAATTTCTCCAGGCATCAATTTAATATGCCTATATATGCATAAAATCATTCCTTTTTATCCTACACGAACCACCACATTTCTCAAAGTATAACATAAAGCTTCAAATTTGATGCAAAAAATATTTTCATTTGAGAAACCATGTGTGGTGGCTTTTTTTAAATTATTCTTTATTAATTACTAAATTCATACATCAGACTGATTTATTATAACTTTTAAGTTTGTTACTGCCTAAGGATCTAATGGAAGCCACTGAATTGAGTGGACTCAGGGGATGGGGTATGACTGACCAGCGCACCTCTGCAGTGGAGGAGAGCTCAGAGGAGAAGGGCAAAGCCCAATGAACTCAGGGAGGGGGGAAAATTGTATCTTAAAGCTTAACTTATCTCAACACTAGGGAGACTGGAGGGTAACCTTGGTATTAGATAAGACCGCTGCACCAGTGAGTCATCAGTTTCTGTGAGACAGGGGAATGTCTTCCTGACCTAGCCAGACCAGCATGAGGAGAGTGGGGGAGTGTATATGTGGCTCAGCCGAACATAAAGCGCAGAAACTGGACAGGTAATAAATTTCAGAGTGAAGAGCTTGAGCTAGCTTCAACTCATATATTCTTGGCGGTATTTCTTCCCAGCACCCTGATGGTAAGCATATATAGACCAATAGTGGGAATCGTGTTTGTATTGATTCAACTGTGTATTGCAATTGCTTTGTGCTTGTGATTTCAGTGTACCACTGTATTGCTCTACTTAATCAACGCCCCCCCCCCCCCCCGCCTT